CATAAGATCAGCCCAGATTCAAGAGGAAGGGAAATAGTTCCCACCTTTTTATAGGAGGAAGGAAAAAGTCACAATGACAAGGAGCACAGGGAGAATTACTGCTGCTATCTTTGAAAACACCCCACCTCACCCTGCTCCCTCCTCCACAGGGTCATTGCGACTGTGCTGGCTGCCTGTGTGCTGGGGACCCTCACCTGCTTCCTCCACTCAGCTCAGCCTAGCCCTTCAGCCTGCACCCTAGTGTCCCCTATTCAGGGATGCTTTCTCTGCACCCGTTGGCCACGGCCCCTTGTTAAGTGCTGCTTTTTCTAGCACTGTGCTGCCTTCCCTCACGAAAAAGCTCCCTTTGTGATGGTGCATTTCCGCCTGGGATGCTTTGATGAGGGTGTTTCCCTCGCTAGATCATCAGCCTCGAGAGAGCAAGGACCTTGTCTGCTGACGCTCCTCATTTCACCCCCTGCACAGGAAAGCAGGCCCTGAATGGATCATTTTTAGATGAATAAATAAATTAATGAGTGAATATCTGTTCCTGGAGTCACCGCACCTCCTGCTGGCCCACTGCTATTTATGCACGGCCACCTGCCCACTTCCTTAGCAAGGGGCACCAAGAGCCCTGCTGCGGGTTCTGTGCCCCCAGTACTGGTCCCAGAGCTTGGCCGTGCCCGCCTCCTGGCCCACTCCAGCCAATCTGGGGGCCGACCCCCTCCCCTGCATAAGGAGTGCAGCCTGGAGTGCTTCTGCAGTGGGTGGGTCCCTCTGCTCTTCCTCCATGGCACCCGAGAAGTGCCAATCACGCTGCCATTCCCACCTTTCTATGAGTTTCCATCCACTGTCATTTCTTCCAGCCCCTCTAGGAACTCCCCATTTGGGCTGATAAACGCTGAGGTGGAGGACAGAGCCTCAGGACCCCTCCCTGGGAGTGGCTGCACTTGGGACACCCGTAGCTGATTCTCATGTCCGGCAGAAAGATGGACTGGATCACTGAGTTCATCTCGTGCTTCCAGACCTTTCGGGCAGACTCGAGGCTGAGGTGGAATACCCATTCTTTCTGGAATACCCCTTGGTAGCAGCCTTAGCTGATCTGTAGTTTATTGCTAAGGCTCAAGGGCACTGTCTTTAATTTCTTTACCTCTGCTGTCTAGACCCAGTTGTTGAACTGCTGCTGACTTCACATCAACTCGTTGTCACCTAGAGCCCTGCAGTGACCACTCCCAGACAACTCAGAGCAGAGCCCTGGGCCTGGAGAATCACTGGGCTGCCGGGCTTTTTGCACCTTCCCTTGTGGAGCCACCAAGCGGCTTTGTGCAGCAGGAGGCTCTGACATCTGACCCTGAGGGTGTCAACAGTGCCCTGCAGGTCCACTGAGCTTCCTTGGGGCAGGGGCACACCCCCTGCTCTATCCCCATGGGATCCTTCACTGTTCCCCCCACTCACTCAGGTCACAGCGCAGGTCAGAGGAGCCAGCTGGGCACCGGGAGCGAGGGATGGGCTGTGGCTGAGGAGGAGCCAAGGGACCCGTGGCCATAGGTCAGCTCCCCTGGGATGAAGGGCTGGTGCCTGTGGGGCCCCCCAGGGAAGGGTGGGCCTGCTGCTCCAACCTGTGGTCCAGGGGATGGTTCTGGCTCTCCTCTTGCTGACTGTGGGATTATGAACTGCTCATCTCACCTCTCTGACCCTCGGTCTCCTCATCTGCAATGATTTAATGAGGTAGCTGTCTGTCATCACTGGGCTGGCACTGGGGTCTGGAGCAGGCAGATGGGGGACACTGGCCTGTGGGGAGGGGTCTATGGACGTGGAGGCTGGGGAAGGGGAGGGCAGAGGGACTTCTCATTTTCTGTCTCATGTGCTATAGCTGACTGCTCACACTTAGGACTTTAAATCCAGTCTGATCACTGGAGGTGACGGCTGAAGCATAGACGTAGGCTGGGGCAGATGGGATGATAACCGCCAGGCACACCGGGTGGTGGCGATGTATGTTAGGGTTCCTGGGCCAGCACTGACCCTGGCAACTCACTCTGGGTTTGCAGGGCCCACAGAGGGGTGCACCTTCCAGGCATCTAACAGTCCCGTAGTACCTTGCCCTGCCTGGACTCTGTAGGAAGAGCTGAGTGTGTCTGGGCTTGTGCCCGCCGAGAGTGCCAGCTGATGTCCACACTGCAGAGCCCAGGACGGGAAGCCAGCATCTCTGCCATGCAGGACAGATGTACCGAGCTGCCTGCTGCCCTGCCTGGCAGCCACCCCCCTCCTCTTCCTTAGGACGCTCAGTATCTGACACAGGGTCCAACCTGGCTCCTGCGCCCTCCTGCCGCTGCTCCTACTGGCCACGTCCACTTGACCCCACTCATGAGCTTGGCCGCCCCCTAGGTTTTGGGCCAACCCTGACCTTGGTCTGGCCTGTGTATGAAGAACTTGGCACCAACTCAGCCTGGCTGTTCCCACCGGCCTGGCACCTCTTTTCTCAGGACTGGGTTTCAGGCTTTGCCGAGGTCCCTCAGGCACCTGCATCTGTGATCCTCACCGAGCCCTGCTCTGCTTCCGTCCGTCCTCCTGAGCTCTCCACACTGAAATTTTCCCCTTGAATCTTTTTCCCCCATCCCTCTGTAGATTTATCTGTTTATTTTTATAACAGCTTTGTTGAGATATTCACACACCGTTACAATTCACCCGTTTACAATGTACAACTCAATGGTGTTTCAGTGTATTCAATGAGCTGTGCAAAGTTCACCACAATCAATATTAGAATGTTTTCGGTGCCCTAAAAAGAAGACCCGTAGCCATTAGCAGTCACTCACTTTCCTCCACCCCCAGCCCCCACCCAAGCAACCATCAAGCTACTTTCTGCCCCTGTGGATTTTTCTATCGTGGACACTTCATATAAAAGGAATCATATGATATGAGGCCCTTTGTGACGGCTCTTTGATTATGGTGTTTTCCAGGTTTATCTGTGTTGTAGCATGTACCAGTATCTCATTTTTATAATTGGCAAATAATATCCCATTGTATGGATATGCCACCTTTTGGTTCTCCATTCATTGGTTTTTGGACATTTGTCTAATTCAAGGTCATGAAGATTTACCCTTATATTTCCTTGCAAGAGTTTTATAGTTTTAGCTGTTACATTTAGGTCTTTGATTCATCAATTTAACTTTTACATATGGTGTGAGGTAGTTCATATTCGTTATTTTGCATGTTGTCCCAGCCCGATTTGTTGAAAAGACTATTCTTTCTTCCATTCAATTGTCTTGACCCCTCTGTTGAAATTGGCCATAAAAGTGAGAGTTTATTTCTGGACTCTCCATTCTGTTCCATGGATCTATGTGTCTGTCTTTATGCCAGTGCCGCACTGTCTTGATTATGGTGGCTCTGTACTGGGTTTTAAAATTGGGAGGTAAAGTTCTACAAGTTTGTTCTTTGAAAGATTGTTTTGACTATTTGGGATCCCTTGTATTTCCATATGAATTTTAAGATTAGCCTGTTAATTTCTACAAAGAAGCCAGCTGGGATTTTGATAGGGATTGTGTTAAAACTATAGATCAGTTTGGGGAGTATTGCCATCTTAACAATATTAATTCTTCCAGTCCATGAACATGGGGCACCTTTTCATTCATTCCCTGGATCTAGCAACATCCCTGTGAAACTCTGTATCTTTGTATATTGCCCATTCCTTGAAATTCAGCCACCTTGTTTTATCCTGTAAGGCACAGGTTTCTTGTCCCTGTTCCCCACAGGCCTCTTGCCACATTTTGCATTTTGCCTCCCTCATGTGACATCCGTCCACTGCCAGCAGCTGGGTCTGCCCTACCTAGGTGTCAGGTCCTAGATCAGACAAGACTGGACCACCCACTCCCTACCGATCTCGTAGCTTGCATTCTCCCCCTGGATGAAGCAGGCCAAGTGAGGGTTCTTGCTAATGGGAGAATTTTACATTTGTATCATTTCCCCTTGGGGTAGCCAAAGTTGAAAAACAGAAACAGAAGATCACACACACACATTTTGCCACCAAATTCAATCAACAAAGATCCAGGGGAAGTGTGGGAACACTCAAGAGTGTCCCATTATCCTAATCATGGAGATTTCTGGGAGACTAAAGGATGAGCATACGCTGTATCTGCCCACCTGGGCCAGCCCACCTGCACGCCGTCACTATGTTGAGCATAGAGCAGCTTCACAGCAGAACAGGCTCACAGGTCCCTGAAACTTTTCTGTCATCTTCCTCTTTTCTCCACTGGTGCCGGGAAGCTCATTTCCACAAATTAGTCCTTTTTGACTAGAAATGCTTTTTTTCCTGCCTGGACCAACGGAAGTTGGATGGTGCAGACTTCCCCTTTCAGCAGCGCCCTTTGAGCCCAGATACCTTCCTTGCCCGTGCAGAGGATGCTAAGCCCACATCACTGGGCTTTCGCATCCCTCACAGGTGCACTGTTGCAGCCTTCCATCTGAGTGTTTCAGCAACAGCACGTGACGCCTGCTCATGATGCCTTCCGGAAGGCTTGGCATCTGTGCCCTTTAGGACTCCAAAATAGAGCATATTAACAGTGCAGAACTAGACCATTGTACACACCTTGTGCTGACATGAAAAAAGAGGGTCTGTTTCTTCATATCTATTTTCCATTCTAGGTTGGCAGAGGACAGCTTCAGCCAGGCGGGAGAGAAAACAACATTTATGGATGCCAATTGTGCACTATTAATAACTTAAGATAACTTATGTGCTGTTGTGGACACCTTAGGTTTATGGGCCCCTCTTTCCCAGAGCTGGATTTTATATCCTGAGATGTTATGTGTATAAGAATCCTCCCAAGCCTTCTTTTCTATGTTTTAGTCAGGTGAGGTTAGGCTATGCTGCAGTAACAAACCAACCTTGAAATTTCATTGGCTTTATATATGAAAATGTATTTCCCACTCATGCTAAGTCAGCTTAACCATTGCTTTCCGTCCTGGGAGAGGGGACAGGAGCCTCTGGGAATTTCTCCATCAGGCTGATGAAGTCTTTGTACCTGCAGGTGTGGCTCTGCGGGGGCAGCATGGAAGTCCTTCCCTGCTCACGGGTGGCCCACATTGAGCGGAAGAAGAAGCCGTACAACAGCAACATTGGTTTCTACACCAAGAGGAATGCGCTCCGGGTTGCTGAGGTCTGGATGGACGACTACAAGTCTCACGTGTACATCGCGTGGAACCTGCCGCTGGAGGTAGAGATGGGCAGCCTCCCCGCACCCCAGAGCAGTGATCCTTGCTGTTCGGCACATCCCGGTGTCTTAATAAGCTGATGGCTCCTCTCCAGAAATGTGCTCATACTTGGAAAATGACAAATGCATTTCGAGGGGGTTCACAGATGTCTAAGTGTCAGAATCCCTGCTTTACTCCAGAAGTGGCACAATGGAAATCTCTAGATCCACTTACAAAGATTAGGAAGGTCATACTATGTCAATCTCGGTCTTGTGATGTTAATCTGGCCGCCCTGCTCCTGAGCATATATTATGTCCAGAAGATTTTTGCCCAAAGATTTGACATCAGACCCCTCATCTGCTGTCACTGTGTGCCCTCCCCTGGAGCTCCTGCTGCCCTGGGATGTCTGCCCCTTCTGTGTGCCAAGGTGCCCTCCACGTGCTGTCAGAATGTGGCCCAGGAAAATTCCCACAGCCCCATGGGCGTGTCACACCATGGCCGTGCACTGGCGTAGTTGAGTTGCGCCTCTGTCACTTACTAGTTATGAGATCATGACCAAAGCCACTCATCTTCTCTGTACAGTCATCTGTCGGTACCCAAAGGGGGCTGGTTTCCAGGAGCCCTCTGAGAAATCAAAATCCAAGGACGCTCCAGTCCCTTACATGCGTATAATCTACACACATTCTCCTGCATACTTTAAATCCTCTCTGAATTACTCCTAATACCTAATACAATGTAAATGCTGTGTAAATAGCTGTTATACTGTATTTTTATTTGTATTATTTTTTATTGTTGCATTGTTTTTTTTCCCCAAATATTTTCAATCAGCAGTTGGTTAAATCCACTGATGTGGAACCTGTGGATGCAGATGCTGATTGTAGCTTCTTTTCCTCAGCTATGAGATGGGATAATAGCGGGCGCTCCTTCCTGGGGTGATTGTGAGAACTCAGTGAGCTAATACACATAACGTGCTTAGAGCAGTGCCTGGCACGGGGGCACTGCTTGACCTCCACAGCCCAGTGGTGCGTCCTGCACCCTCAGAAAGAGCTCGGTTTATCTCCTGAGCCAGCGCACGCCGTGAGTGTCTGAGCCATTCCTGGGAGAGTCGCCTGGAATGACGCCCACTGAGCGATGGCAGCCTCTGCCTTTCAGGAGGCGAGAGCCTAGAACAGCAGAAACACAGTTGAATGTGTGCAAGGTCTGTGGGTGAAGATGATAACAGTGAAGAATTTGTTCATTGTTGCTACAGTATTTGAAATATTTTAACACACCCTAAAGAAGTGAAAACCCCCTTACAGCCACATAGCGCTTTCTAGTTGTTACACTATAGGCGCTTTTATCTATAGTTATTATATTAGGTATAAATAGATAACATTTGTTGAGCACTTACTATGTCCTAGATCCTTGATAAAAGTTCCTTATTTGCAACATCTCATTTGATTCTCAGAACAACCTCATGACATAAGAACTTCAGCTTCTTCATCTGTAAAACATGGATTGTTAATATTTACCTACGAGGGCTCCTGTGAAGATAATATGAAACTTAGAACAGAGCTTAGCAATTATTAAGTGCTCAATAAATGCTAGCTTGATAAGAGCCTGTTCTGATGTCCATTTTACCGATGAGGAGACTGAGCTGTCATGAAGTTCAAGGGGACTTGTTTAAGGTCACATACACAGCACATGGGCAGGGACGTCAGCTCAGCTTTTCATGCGACCCTTCCCCGGCCCTGTGGTCAGGGGAATAGATAAGATGATTATTATTCTATTTTGTAGAGAAGCAGTTGTGACTTGGCATGGTGAAGAACTCAAGTCTTTTGACTCTAGCCAACTGCTTCCTCCATTACTGCAGACAACCTCTGGTCCCGAATGCCAGCGGTAACTGGCCGTGCTTGGTAAAAATAACCATTTTCACGAATCGTGCTAAGTATATGAAAACGACGCGTTAGATTTTGCTGCTCAGATTTGCCTATGAAGTTTAATAAGTTTGACATTTAAAGGGATTTTTCTTTAAAATCACTGACAGCCAGAGCAACCTTAACGACATACTCTGAAGTCTTCTCCTAGGCCCCCGAAATGCCATTCGGCTGCCCATTGTCCGGAGCCGGCATGCCGTCCCGGCTCATGCACAGCCGTCTAGTGGCTGAGGCCGCGGAGTCGCATTTCAGATGCTTTATTTTCCCGTGTCAGCACACAGCAGCCATTACAGGTTCATTTCTGTAAAAGCAGAGTGAATTATTCATTAGAACATCATTATAAGCTTTGCAATGGAAAATTATTTTCGCTTCTGCATATAATGAACTTCGGGAAGAGCCAACAAAGGGGGAAATTGCGCGTGTCTGGGACAGAAAGACAGGAGGGGGGTGTAGGCATTGATTTTCCTGTCTTAATCAAATAATTTTTCTAATAATTGCTTCTGATAGTTGCTGGGGAAGTGTGAGAGAGAAGGCACTGAGAATGTGGGTCGTTGCTATCAGAGTGTCCCAGGAACCCTGGCACACGGTAATGACAAGGGTGGCGGCTGCTCTGGGGCCTTCGTGCTGCGCGTTCCTGACTGCGCTCAGGGAAAAGGCCTTGGTGGCCCACGTCTAGATGACTCAGGCCGGTCTCCTTAAACCGACCTTCCAAGGAAGCGTACAAGGCTTGACCTCTTCTCTCCGAAGCTTTCCCTGAAAGTGACTCCACCTGTGCCTCTCTCTGGCCCACGCTCCATGGCCACTGACACCCCTTTGCTTCTCTCTCCTTCCAGAATCCAGGAATTGACATAGGTGATGTCTCAGAGAGAAGAGCATTGAGGAAAAGTTTAAAGTGTAAGAACTTCCAGTGGTACCTGGACCACGTGTACCCGGAAATGAGAAGATACAACAATACCATCGCCTATGGGGAGGTAATTAAGACTGCGCATGCTCTCGGGTTGGACTGCTGTTCACTGTGCTGTGCATTGCTTTGCTGGGGGACGATAGAGTCATTTGTTCATTCATTCATTCATTCATTCAATGAGTGGTTTTGGGAGGTGCGGGCTCTGGCAGCAAGGCTCTCTCCAGCTACCAGTAGGAGTTGGGAACAAATGTAATAAATGTGACAATGGGAACAGGGACAAAAGGCTGTGGCAGTCGTCTTCTCTGCCAGAGCTGCGTAGAGAACGATGAGCTGTGTTTGGAACATTTTGACTTTTAGGTCCTCTGGGACCTGCAAGTGGGACATTGGGCAGAAAATTGGGTACAGAGAGAGGCAGAGCCTCAGTGCCGTGGGCTGGAGTCACTGTCAAAGAAGGAAACCTGGTCTTCTTGGGTTTTCTATGATGAGATATCACCTTTCTAGACATTAAAGCAAATTGATTTCTCTCATTACAAATACCATAAATATGCGTTTGAGAAAAAATTTGAAAACAATGAAAATAGCAGAGAACATTTATTGAGTGCTTTCAAAGTGCCAGCCACTATTCTAAGTGCTTTTTACATACAAATTCATTTCACCCTCACCCAATAAGATAATAGAATTATTTCCATTTTAGTGATAAGAAAGCTGAGATTTAGAGAAATTACCTGACTTACCTACGGTTGCAACTTATAAGTCACGAAGCCAGGATTGGACATAGGCATTCTGACACCAAAGATAATGTATACATTTTGATGTGTGGTCTTCTTTACTGTGTGTACGTGTGTATGTGTGTGTGCACACACTTATATATTTTTACTAAAACCATGCTGTCCACAATGCCTCATAATTTGCAATTTTACTCAATAGTATATGGACAATATCTTCCTGTGTCATTAAACATTTTTCTGCCACATTATTCATGGCTGCATATGGTTCCACTTTTGTGGATTCTGTGCTTGCTTGAGAACGTCGACATTTGCGTCATTTCCATTTTTTAAATATCGTAAGTGCCACTGCTGAAGCATCCTTCTATAGAAACACTCATACGCCCCATGCATCTACCTCATTACCTCCTTGCAGCGCCTGTTTGGAGGTCGAGTCTGTGACACCAGTCGGGTGCTCTCGACCTAGCAGAGACACCCAGTGGCTCCACAGTTTGGGTTTCCTTCCCAGGGCTGCCCGGGACTCCCTGTGACTACCAGGTCAAGCTAAGAAGACCGCCTTTGACTTAGAGTGTTTACATTTTTCTGCAACTGCAGATTTTTCTTGTTCTTTGCCTTATATGCCTTTTATAGAAAGTAATGGAAAGTAAATCAACCACAGGTTAAATTGTCAGGGTGTGGAGTGTGGACCCTCCTGAACTGGAGTCTGGAATGAGACACTTGTTTCTTGCAGGGTCTGTGTGGTGGTTGGGGATGCGTGAAGGCTCTGGAGCCAGGATTCGAATCCTAGTGGGCTGTTAGCGGCTGTGTGGCTCCTCTCGGCTTCCATTCCCTCATCTGTAAAGTGGGAGGCATGAAAGTACCTACTCTACAGGTTGTTGGGAGAATGGAGTCAGCTGTGATATGTAGAGTTCTTCACCCCACAGGCAACGCAAGTTGTTAATAGGTCCTAACTGCCTTGTCTTTTCTTCTTCAAAATAAAAGTATGTATTTTTTTTTTGTTATCAAAGTAACATCAAATATAAAGGAGGCATCAAGAAATGATGGGCAGTGAATGGATTATTTCTGAGACAATTGGTTAAATTGCCTAGCTCTTTGGAAAATAAATCAATTTAGATTCTTACAGCTCACCATATACCAAAGTACGTCTGAGATGGACTATAGAATTACATGGAAGAAAAGAAATCTTGAAAGAACCATGTGCAAATAGAGACGAATCTGATCTCTGAATGGTGAAGTTCTTTCCAAGAATGCCAGCCAGGGAAGGAAACACATAAAGGATCTGAACTCATAAATATTAAAATCATCTATACATCAGCTGAATAGAGAAATAATATGCCAAACTAGAAATATATATGCCACAAATACTATAGATGAATCGATAATACCATTAATATATAATGAGCTCTGCAAATTGATATAAATAAACAATTTTATTTAAATAACAACATAAAACATCCCAAAGGAGAAACAAAGTATAAGGAAGGTTAACACTCGAAAAAAATACAAATGGTTGAAAACACATGAAAAATTTTAATTTATTTTATAATCAAAGAAATTAAAATAAATTTTAAATACATTGAGGTAGGTTTTTTTTTTCCTACCAAATGAACAAAAATTTATTTTTGGAATATATGTTGATTACTTTGCTGGTAAGGGCTTGGTAATAAGAAAAATCACATATCCTCCAGCGAAAGTACAAATTGAAACAAGCTTTTTAAAAAGCAATTTGAACCACATGCATTAAAAAGCTTAATGATAGTCATATTTTCTTCTCCACTCTTACCCCAAGAAAATAATCTGAAATAGGGACAAAGATTTGAGAGTAAAATTGTTCATCTCAGCGATCTGGGGGGACAAAAAATTTTTTAATTTAACTCGAAGATTAGTTAAATATATTCATGGCTCGAAATATTTTGCAGCCATTACAGATGGAGTGCACAGAAGTTTAATGACCTGAGAAAAATATTGATACTATAATGCTTAAGAGGAAAAAGTCAGTATGATAAAACTAGAGTAGCTGCTATTTTAGATTAGAAGGAAGTAGAACAATAGCATGGCAAAATGGAGAAGACAGTTATAATTACCTTAGGTAGTGGGACTGCTAGCAGTTTTTGTGTGGGTACTTTGTCATCTTTTTCCAGTTTTCACTAATAATATGTGATAATTTTATAATTAAAAAATAGTTATTTGAAAAGAAAGATTAAAAATGGAAAAATGGTAGAAGGTGGTGAGCGTTGCTGTGCACAGCTCCATAGTCCGTGCACTGCACAACTCTAGGGGCTGCCATTGACATCAACCACAATATATCCCTGGATAATTGATATCCCTGGAACTATACAGTGGGGTGGCCTTGGAGGTAACATAGATATCAAAGTCTGATTTTTTGGAGGAGGGAGGCCTTTTGTTTTTACAAATTGTCTTGTATTTTTAAAATAATAAATTCAGTACATACGTTCTATAGGAAATATAAAGATGAAAACAAGACTTACTCTAAATCCCAATTCCCAGATAGAATCAATGTTAACATTTTAGGGCATTTTGTTTTATTGCTCCTTCTCTACCTGCTGAGCTCCCCACATACTGAAATATATTTCAGATGGACTATAGCATTAAATGAAAGAAATCAAATTAATCACATTCAGTTTGGTAACAAAATTTGGCATTATTTAGACAATCTATTTTTAATGCTCTTTTCTACTGGTTCTTTTCAACACACCCACACCCCTGAGCTCTGAGAAAAGGAAGAAGACAGAGTGGCTATCATACTATATATATCTATAGTTTGAATGATTTGTTTTTCATTTATAATTCTGTTCACGAGTCTTTCCCTGGGCCAAGGACTATTTCTGGGTTTTATACTCCTTGCTATTCCCTAATTTTTGGCTACTTTGTTGTTTGGCTTTTTAAAAAGCTTTCTAATCATGTGCATTGTATATATCTTGCTCTTAATTACATTATGGTTATTACCTCTAGTTAAAAAAATTTTAACATCTGAGCCTCCAAAATTAAGAGTCAAGTGATATGGATTGCAAGAATTTTCACACACTTTCTCCTGTCCTCTTCATCAACTCTTCAGTCTTTGTTAATATTATCTGGGGTTTTAAACCCAAACATTATTAATACAGCCATCCTTCAATATCCACAGGGGATTGGTCTGGGTCCCCTGTGTATACCCTAACTCTGCAGATGCTCAAGTCCCTCGTATAAAATGGTGTGGTATTTGCACAGAATCTATGCACTGCTTCCCGTATACTTTAAGTCACATCTAGATTACTTATGATACTTAATGCAATATAAATGCTACGTAAATAGTTGTTGCACTGTATTGTTTAGGGAATAATAACAAGGGAAAAAAATCTGTACATGTTCAATACAGATGCAACCATCTTTTTTTTTTCAACTATTTTTAATTCAGGTTGGTTGAATCCATGGATGTAGAAGCCATAGATATAGAGGGTTGACTGTACTTTATTTACGTTTTATATCTTCTTTATGAATAACTTTTTAATCAAATTCAGTTTGATGACCAAATCTACCATGATTCAGACAAGTCTGTTTTTAATGCTCATTCCTACTTACTGTTTTAGGCACAGCCAATGCCAGCACAGGGGAGGGAAAACAGAGACCTCCGAGCAGGTGTCGGCCTGGCCCTTCCCCCTACGACAGTGTTGGCGCCCAGGCCCGCTTAGATAACAAGTCACTTTCCTTTGATTTTTACATTTTTATTCATCCCTGTTAGCTGGAATGTCTTAAAATATTGGAATGTCTTTCTAAAGAATGATATGTGGATGCTTGACTCTTACATGTATGAAATGTTGTCTCTCCACTTACAAAAGCACTTCATGGTGCTCTAAAACACTGGGCCACCAACATTTTTGCACAAAATTATGTGGCCAACTCATACTGCCCTTGGTTTGAACTGCCCCTGGCCTCTAATGCACTTTTATTCGACTTTCTTTCCTTTCACCTGTATTTATATAAAATACCACACATATATAATGTGTATAAAGCATACACATACAGCATGATAATATAAACCCAAAATCCATGTTGCCACCACCTGGGTGAAAAATAGAACTTTTCCAGCATCGAGTCCACATACCCTTTTGAACCCCTCCTGCGGGAATCGCCTCCTCTCAGCAGTCGTCTCTGAACCTTCAGAAGTGGGGAAGAAGTCCTCCTTGCTGGTCCTGACATATATTAGCCACTGCACTAGACTGTGGACCACTTCAGGGCAGGGAAACTGTTGTTTAAAACATCTTTGTGTTCATTAAATTTAGCACAGTGCCAGACACTTACCAGGCCTTCAATAAATATTTGCTAAATTACTGAGTGATAGATTTGATTGCATAAGCATTAGAAATAAAATTTAAAATCCTAGCAGTCTGAAACCATGTGGAACAAATATGCCTTGAAAACATTAATGTCCTTAGTATGTAAAGAGCTCTTACAAATCTATAATGAAACCATTTAAGATCCCAGTGGGGAAATAAATAGACAATTTTAAAAAAGGAAAATGATTGCTAAACACAAAACATTTCAATTTACTATGAATAGTAAATTTATAAAAACAAGATACCTTTCTTCACCCCTCAAAACAATATTTTTAAATGGTGAAATTCGGGACCGATAAATAGATAAGTATTTGCCCACCTCGTGAGCTGGAATATGAATTAGTTCAAAGTTCCCAGCTAGCAGTCAGGCAGCGTGTTTTAAGAACATCAAGGTGTTCATACGCTTTGATACCTTAATCCCAATTCTAGGATTCTATTAAGAAAATCTGCAATGTGAACAAAGCTTTATGCATAAAATTGCTCATTACAGCCCAAATTGAACAAAGCTAAAATGTCCAAAGATTGGAGGGAAAATTAACTGATTGTGCGTGAAAGGATTGTGAACAATTGTTATTTTCTTCTGTATTTTCCAAAATGTCTCAATGAGATGGTGTTATTTTTATAATCTTAAAAAAGATTTCAAAATCATTAGAAATCTGCTCAGTCATCTGAGACTAGACACAATTTGGGTACAGAATGAACAGTGTCCCTGTGCCACTCTTTCTGACTTATCCTTAGTTAATGTGGTTTCCATGGAGAATATAATCTGGAGGGGAATGAATATATATGGAAAGACCAATGACATTGCCTTTTCCCCACCCATTGAGACCCTGGGGTGGTGGATACCAATATAGGGTTACAACGTGCCTGGAGGCCAGATTAGATCTGCTCTCACACACTCCCAAGGAGACAAGCCTAGGTCCAGGGGCGTTGTCTTGGGGACCTATGTCTATTTCCAACATCTGGGATGGTGCCCGATGCAGCATATGCATTCAGTACAATGTTTTTTGAATATATAAATAAAGTTGCTAGCGCTTTTCATGATGGCAAGGTTTCAGTTTGCTTCTCTGATTGCTGTTTTCCATGCCTCTATGCAAGTAATGATATGAGTGACTAACCTATGACTGACTCCCAGGTTATTAAAACCAGTGTTGGTGCCAAGGCCCACTTAGGATTTGTTCATACGTCTCAGTCCACACCCTGACCCCCCTCTGAGGTGACTTTAAACCTAAGGTCTGGGTAATACATGTCTCTATGTCCAGAAGTTCCTTGTGATCTCTTTTGTGCTGTGATGGAGGCGCTGGGAGGGGGGGGGCCAGCTGCCCAGGACACAGGCAGAGGGCTGGAGCCCATGCCACCCATGGAGGACTTTTTCCTTCCTGCTAAAGTGATCACAGCCGTGAAGTGCCTTGGTCCTTGCTTGGAGGGGCCTGTGGCCTTCCCGTCATGAACCAAGGCAGCGTGGAACTAGGGCTGGGAGGTAGCACCTTCCCCAGAGGAGCTCTGAGGGTAATGTTTTGTCTACTCCCGCAGCTCCGCAACAACAAGGCAAAAGACGTCTGCCTGGACCAGGGCCCACTGGAGAACCACACAGCAATACTGTACCCATGCCACGGCTGGGGACCACAGGTAGGAGCTTACTTCTGACCACCGCAGGCCCACCCGGGCCTTGTGGGACTTCTGGATGCTTCTGTTGCCCTCTATTTTGGTAATTGTTATCTATTCTGAGAGTTTAAGGAGAAGGTGGGAGGCTTTCTGGCTGTTTCATTAAAAATGCTGGGGAAAAGATTCATAAGTGGTTGCATCAGCACAAATATTAAGATTACGGATCAATGTGCATGTTTCATACTGGAAGGAAAAGGTAAGTAAGCCACAGAGTCATTTGCTAACACCCACATACACCTGCTTACAACCTCGAAGAGACAATTAGCAGCTTCCCTCCCAAGAACCGGATTGACACGTCTGTCCTGAAAGAGCATGTTTTTGGTGGTGAGTGTCACAGGGACCATTAGGGCTGGTACGAGAACAGAGTGTGATGGGGAAGGAGGAAAGTGTTTGCAGGGGCATCTCTGAGAACACACGAGACAGCTTGCAAAGGGTAAGGCGATTCACCAATCTGTGAAAACAGAGGCCTGATAAATGAATTGCCGTTGACGGTTTTGTGCTAGCTGGCGACGCTTGTGCGTGAGTGTGCATTTGTGTGTGTGTACAGAAGAAGCTTAGCTGAAACTCTCTAAGATGGAGAGAAAACACACCCCAAAATGTCACTAGATTTGACATTCATAGAAATTTAAAACATTATGTCAACCAACCATAACAAAAGGCAAACATTTATATTCCAATTCCAAACGCAATCCATTTAAATCAAGGTTATTTAGGGATCCTCACCACTGCCCAAAGGTGCCTGTAGGGAGTGGGAGAATGGCTGGGATGCCTAGACCAGAGAATCGAATGCCGGTCTATATCCATCCATTCATTCATTCTCTGAACAGATACCTCCTGATCACCTGCTGTGGGTGTGAGTCACAATTGTACACAGGCCGTTGGGAAGATCCAGTCCCTGCTCTGAGTGGTTTACCTTTGCAGGGGCAAGACCGGCATAGAGGCAGGAAACCTCCAGCATCACAAGTGTGGCTTAGGCTACAGGAGGAAAGGGGCCTGAGAACAGGCAGAAGAGAGATGGAGAGCAGATGGGGAAGGGCCTGATGTGGCTCTCACGCTGCGGTGTGCGGCAGAGTCATCTGCGAGACTTGGGAAAATGCCAGCTCCTGAGCCCCACCCCCAGAGGTTCTGGGTCAGGAGATCTGGGCTGGGGCCTGAGATTTTACATTTCTAACAAAAAAACCAGGGGGTGCTGACACTGCTGGTTGGAGGGTGCTGCGGAGCCACCGAAGGCTTCATCTTGGGGAATGATAAGTTTAGACTGGGTACGGCCAGCCCCAGAGGGGACTGTCTAAGAGGCTGCATCTTGAAGGAGACCAAGTGAAAAGCCAGCAGTCCACCCCAGCTAGTCTCCCACCGAGACGGCTTGGAGAGGGAGTGGGGATGGTGGTTTTGGACCAGGAGGACCCGAAGGCAGGGCCCCACATGCTGCCCGCACCGTCTTCCTAGGACGCCCACAGCCTCCGGCCTGGGCAGCAAGAGCCTGGACTCTGGACCTGGGGCAGCTCCTCTCCCCAACTGCATAGCTCTGCCTAACCATCCTTCTGGGAATTCCAGGAGTCACTTTTAGAAGAACACTTGACTCCCAGGCTACTTTCTCCAGCCTTCTGAATAAGTATTAATAACATTTGAACTGAGTACTTACCAATGGTGACCATAGACAGAGATGATCCCATTTAGACACTGGCAAGATCCATAGTTGGCCCAAGGAAGCCAATGCCTCCTGTGCATGAGGAAGGGGGTAAAGATGGCCCAGGCACTGTCCCCTGGAGATGGGAGGGTTTCCCACGTGGCTCTGAGCAGTGGGCTTTGCTCCGGGTGTTTCAGGGAAAGGCTCTCAAAGCCACCCGGGAAGCTCTAGGCCGATCCTGAGGCCTAGGATGTTAGGGCAGTGTCATCTGCCTTCTATGGGCCTGAGGTCACCTCTTCCCAGCACCCCCGCCCTCCCCGCCTACTCTGACATCTCTAAGGCCCTGTGATGCCCACACCTCCACACACAGTCTGGGCAGACCGCTGCAAACTTGGCTTTCCTTACTCTTCTGTCCAGAGCCTTTGTTCCTCTTTTGTCCCCTCCCTTGGGGCCCTGCCCAGTGGCCACCTGCTACACAGACCCAGCAGGAATGTCTGCATGGCCCGTCCCCCAGACAACATGGTCAGCATCGCGTGCACTCTGAGGATGGCCACCCACTCGCTCCCTCCCCAGGCAGGAGCCAGGCATCAAGTTCCCTCTTCTGCTGGGAGCTCAGTGGCATTTGCAGCACAGTACTGAGTCCTTGGTTGGAAAATAGCTGGAACACATCTTTCCCCAATTCCTCCTGCATGTGGAACTTTTCCAAATGAAAGCTCTGGCCATTTGGTTGTTTATGGAACAACAAGCAAAATTAGGCAGATCATGACTCCCCCCACCTCTAAGATGAACACCTGTAAATGGGCCCTGGTGACTTTCCATCAGCTGATTTTTTGAAAGTCAATCTAGCACTGCTCTCTGTTCTGCCACGTGTCTGCGTTAGCAAGTGTCCTTGGCCTGGCTCTGCGGCTGCCGGGCTGTCCCCTGCTCGTTCATCAAGGCTCCGCTGCTGCCCAAACCTGCTCCCTCTATGCACCGAGTCCCATCTCTGACCAGGCATCTCTTTAAACGGCATGGTAAGTGCCGCGGGCACACAGCCACTGAACAGAGCCCTGCAACCAGGCAACTCCCTGCAGAAGGAGTCGGCGTTCCACAGACATTGTTAGCTTAATTAATGGACTCTATGTTGTAATTTATTATCAAACAGCAATTAAGCCAAGATAAACTAGGCACTGAGGAGGGTAATTTCCTGTCTTGCAGCATGTGTTTGTCAACAAGATGGAAACGGTTCCTGGCCACTCAGAGAGCCTGCTCGCTCCAAAGTGTCCGTCCGTCCTCGAGCTCACCACGAGCCTCGGTTTTGTCTGCTTACTAATTTGGATTAGAAACACATCCAATTCTTTTTGGAGCCTAAGTTTTATTTAAAAATAGAATGTCAAGGGTGCAGCAGCAGCCTTTGGTGTCAGCGTGAACCCGTGTGGAGAGGGAGGTCTTGTCTAAGGAGGCAGGACCACAGACCCCCACCAGGTGCCAGGCTGTTGCCTTCCTGGGCCCACGTGTGGGGAGGGTTCCTGAGCTGGAGCAGCCGTAGGAACACCTGACAGCTTTGCTGCCCAACGAGGGGACCGGCTTGCTCTGCCAGGCCCTCCTGCTGCGCCCCTTCAGCCAGCTGGTCACCTTTCCCAGGCCAGAGCTTCTGATTTCCTTCCAGAGACAGAGGTGCCGTCAGGAAGAGAGAAGGGGGTGATGGTATCACTGTGCCTAGGATCCCTGTACCATTTTGGTGGTCCTTATCCCACCCCCCCCATGGGCCCTGACCCTGTTGTCTCAGGTCCCTGCCCCTGAGCTGCTGCATGCGGTGGACTCTGAGCTCCGTGTTCCGGCCCCTGTCCGGGGACAGCACTGAGCGCCCTGGGCCGGGGCTCGGCTGACACGGGGAACGAAAGTGCTGATGATAACACCCATATCTGTGTCAGTAATATGTTTAATCCTCCCCACTACCCCATCTGGTAAACAGTGACACCTTCGTTTTCTCATTTTATTAATGAGAAAATTGAGATTCAGGTGGGGCAGTGCCGGTTGTCAAATGCAAGTCCCGTGACGCTTAGTCTTGGATACTCCGCGGTGCCATCGTGAACTCTGGGGGGCATCTGCCATTTCCTTGAGCCCCCAGGTGTTCTCCAGCCCCAGCAGGGCGTAGTGGAAAGACCTGAAGCGAGCACGGAGGAGCGGATGTGAGAGCCGAGGTCGGAGGCAGGGCACGGGAGCCACGTGCAGGGGGAGAATGACGCAGCTGGCTGAGGCAGGCGGCTCAGGGCAGCCGAGAGGGACAGAGCGTGAGAGCCTCGAGAGCCATGATCGGGGCTGGGCATCCCATCCGGCATCCCAGGCGTGCTGTGCAGACACTGTGGACCATCTGGGAACCTGTTACCACTGCTGCTCCCGGAGTCCAAGCCCAGACGTCCTGCCCATGGGGCCTGGGCCTCCGTGTGCCCACAGACACCCGCAGGTGCCTGTCCTCGGCAGTCGGTGGCCAAGTATTGAGCGTCTAATGTGACAAGGCTTTGTGTTAGACTCTAGAGGTAGTGGTCACGTGTCCCTGTTTGCCCAGGACAGGCCCAGTGTGGACGTAGTGCCCCTGCTTAATTTTTTTAAATTTCTAATGCTATCTCAGTTTTCATGTTAACTGGCTTTTTTTTTTATTTTTTAAGGTAAAATTTACTCTTTATAATGTGTAGTTTTGCAAGTTTTGACAAACACTTATGACCAAGTAATCACCCACAGTCAAGGTACAGAGTGGCTCTGTTGCCCCGAATTCTCCTGACCCCCTTTGCAGCTCCCTCTCCCTCTGCTCCACATACTTTATACACATCAAATGTGAGTTCCAGCTTCACTGGCTGTGCTCGCGACAGTCGCCTGTGCACCTGCACACGCGTGTGCAAACGAACACGTCCCCACGGATTCTGCTGAGGTTCCCAGCCCCCCTCAGCCCATGCCATGGGCAGCGAATGACCAGCAAAGTGTTCCGAGTGAAGCGCCCTGGACGTTTCAATGAGCACTGTTTGAAACAGCTGCTCACTGTGAGGGGACGTTCTTAAAGCAAGGTGTGCACCACGGAAAGGAATTGAAGGCGTCCGTCCCTGTTGGGGGGCGTCCGGCTCTGTGCCGAGGGCCTTTCTGATTCAACAGGCTCAGGGGAGGGCATCAGCAACCTCTCCTCTGTTCGTCCTCCCCATCTATACATCGGACTCCTCCCCTCCCTTCTTCTTCGTGAGGCCCTCATTCCCTCCCTCGGTGAACTCATCACCAGAATGACAGATGAGGATTCTTTTATCCCATAATTAAATTTAATCTGATCTTGGACTCATTCCCCGATGGCTTCATCTTTTAAGCGATACAT